GTAATGCATCATATGGACTGTATATCCACTACTAAAGAATGTGACACAATTAGTGATAATCACATTATGATAACTTTCCAAGGCAGATTATCTTCCAAGGGAGAAAGTCTCCTGATCCATGGAATGGGAGGTACCACTCCTCTTCCTCGGGTCAAACATGATTAAATTTCATTACCCTAGGCACTGTATGACACCTATGGGATTAACTCTTCCCCATTAATGTAACGCTGATAGAGACTTCCTCCCACTCACCTTAGAGAGGCAGTGCTTCCTCCCACTCACCTTAGAGAGGCAGTGCTTCCTCCCACTCACCTTAGAGAGGCAGTGCTTCCTCCCACTCACCTTAGAGAGGCAGTGCTTCCTCCCACTTACCTGAGAGAGGCAGTGCTTCCTCCCACTTACCTGAGAGAGGCAGTGCTTCCTCCCACTTACCTGAGAGAGGCAGTGCTTCCTCCCACTCACCTGAGAGAGGCAGTGCTTCCTCCCACTCACCTGAGAGAGGCAGTGCTTCCTCCCACTTACCTGAGAGAGGCAGTGCTTCCTCCCACTCACCTGAGAGAGGCAGTGCTTCCTCCCACTTACCTGAGAGAGGCAGTGCTTCCTCCCACTTACCTGAGAGAGGCAGTGCTTCCTCCCACTTACCTGAGAGAGGCAGTGCTTCCTCCCACTCACCTGAGAGAGGCAGTGCTTCCTCCCACTCACCTGAGAGAGGCAGTGCTTCCTCCCACTTACCTGAGAGAGGCAGTGCTTCCTCCCACTCACCTGAGAGAGGCAGTGCTTCCTCCCACTTACCTGAGAGAGGCAGTGCTTCCTCCCACTTACCTGAGAGAGGCAGTGCTTCCTCTCACTCACCTGAGAGAGGCAGTGCTTCCTCCCACTTACCTGAGAGAGGCAGTGCTTCCTCCCACTCACCTGAGAGAGGCAGTGCTTCCTCCCACTTACCTGAGAGAGGCAGTGCTTCCTCCCACTTACCTGAGAGAGGCAGTGCTTCCTCCCACTCACCTGAGAGAGGCAGTGCTTCCTCCCACTTACCTGAGAGAGGCAGTGCTTCCTCCCACTTACCTGAGAGAGGCAGTGCTTCCTCCCACTTACCTGAGAGAGGCAGTGCTTCCTCCCACTTACCTGAGAGAGGCAGTGCTTCCTCCCACTTACCTGAGAGAGGCAGTGCTTCCTCCCACTTACCTGAGAGAGGCAGTGCTTCCTCCCACTTACCTGAGAGAGGCAGTGCTTCCTTCCACTCACCTTAGAGAGGCAGTGATTCCTCCCACTTACCTGAGAGAGGCAGTGCTTCCTCCCACTTACCTGAGAGAGGCAGTGCTTCCTCCCACTTACCTGAGAGAGGCAGTGCTTCCTCCCACTTACCTTAGAGAGGCAGTGCTTCCTCCCACTTACCTGAGAGAGGCAGTGCTTCCTCCCACTTACCTGAGAGAGGCAGTGCTTCCTCCCACTTACCTGAGAGAGGCAGTGCTTCCTCCCACTTACCTGAGAGAGGCAGTGCTTCCTCCCACTTACCTGAGAGAGGCAGTGCTTCCTCCCACTTACCTGAGAGAGGCAGTGCTTCCTCTCACTTACCTGAGAGAGGCAGTGCTTCCTCCCACTTACCTGAGAGAGGCAGTGCTTCCTCCCACTTACCTGAGAGAGGCAGTGCTTCCTCCCACTTACCTGAGAGAGGCAGTGCTTCCTCCCACTCACCTGAGAGAGGCAGTGCTTCCTCCCACTCACCTGAGAGAGGCAGTGCTTCCTCCACTTACCTGAGAGAGGCAGTGCTTCCTCCCACTCACCTGAGAGAGGCAGTGCTTCCTCCCACTTACCTGAGAGAGGCAGTGCTTCCTCCCAGTCACCTGAGAGAGGCAGTGCTTTCTCCCACTCACATGAGAGAGGCAGTGCTTCCTCCCACTCACCTGAGAGAGGCAGTGCTTCCTCCCACTCACCTGAGAGAGGCAGTGCTTCCTCCCACTTACCTGAGAGAGGCAGTGCTTCCTCCCACTTACCTGAGAGAGGCAGTGCTTCCTCTCACTTACCTGAGAGAGGCAGTGCTTCCTCCCACTTACCTGAGAGAGGCAGTGCTTCCTCCCAGTCACCTGAGAGAGGCAGTGCTTCCTCCCACTTACCTGAGAGAGGCAGTGCTTCCTCCCACTTACCTGAGAGAGGCAGTGCTTCCTCCCACTTACCTGAGAGAGGCAGTGCTTCCTCCCACTTACCTGAGAGAGGCAGTGCTTCCTCCCACTTACCTGAGAGAGGCAGTGCTTCCTCCCACTTACCTGAGAGAGGCAGTGCTTCCTCCCACTCACCTGAGAGAGGCAGTGCTTCCTCCCACTCACCTGAGAGAGGCAGTGCTTCCTCCCACTTACCTGAGAGAGGCAGTGCTTCCTCCCACTCACCTGAGAGAGGCAGTGCTTCCTCTCACTTACCTGAGAGAGGCAGTGCTTCCTCTCACTTACCTGAGAGAGGCAGTGCTTCCTCCCACTTACCTGAGAGAGGCAGTGCTTCCTCCCACTTACCTGAGAGAGGCAGTGCTTCCTCCCACTCACCTGAGAGAGGCAGTGCTTCCTCCCACTCACCTGAGAGAGGCAGTGCTTCCTCCCAGTCACCTGAGAGAGGCAGTGCTTCCTCCCACTTACCTGAGAGAGGCAGTGCTTCCTCCCACTTACCTGAGAGAGGCAGTGCTTCCTCCCACTCACCTGAGATAGGCAGCGCTTCCTCCCACTTACCTGAGATAGGCAGTGCTTCCTCCCACTCACCTGAGAGAGGCAGTGCTTCCTCCCACTCACCTGAGATAGGCAGTGCTTCCTCCCACTTACCTGAGAGAGGCAGTGCTTCCTCCCACTTACCTGAGAGAGGCAGTGCTTCCTCCCACTCACCTGAGAGAGGCAGTGCTTCCTCCCACTTACCTGAGAGAGGCAGTGCTTCCTCCCACTCACCTGAGAGAGGCAGTGCTTCCTCCCACTTACCTGAGAGAGGCAGTGCTTCCTCCCACTTACCTGAGAGAGGCAGTGCTTCCTCCCACTCACCTGAGAGAGGCAGTGCTTCCTCCCACTTACCTGAGAGAGGCAGTGCTTCCTCCCACTTACCTGAGAGAGGCAGTGCTTCCTCCCACTTACCTGAGAGAGGCAGTGCTTCCTCCCACTTACCTGAGAGAGGCAGTGCTTCCTCCCACTTACCTGAGAGAGGCAGTGCTTCCTCCCACTTACCTGAGAGAGGCAGTGCTTCCTCCCACTTACCTGAGAGAGGCAGTGCTTCCTCCCACTTACCTGAGAGAGGCAGTGCTTCCTCCCACTCACCTGAGAGAGGCAGTGCTTCCTCCCACTCACCTGAGAGAGGGAGTGCTTGATGCCCACTCACCTGGGAGAGGGAGTGTTTGATGTTCACTCACCTGAGAGAGGGAGTGCTTGATGCCCACTCACCTGAGAGAGGGAGTGCTTGATGCCCACTCACCTGAGAGAGGGAGTGCTTGATGCTCACTCACCTGAGAGAGGGAGTGCTTGATGCCCACTCACCTGAGAGAGGGAGTGCTTGACGCCCACTCACCTGGGAGAGGGAGTGTTTGATGTTCACTCACCTGAGAGAGGGAGTGCTTGATGCCCACTCACCTGAGAGAGGGGGGTGCTTGATGCCCACTCACCTGAGAGAGGGAGTGCTTGATGCCCACTCACCTGAGGGAGTGCTTGATGCCCACTCACCTGAGAGAGGGAGTGCTTGATGCCCACTCACCTGAGAGAGGGCGTGTTTGATACTCACTCACCTGAGGGAGGGAGTGCTTGATGCCCACTCAGATGAGGGAGTGCTTGATGCCCACTCACCTGAGAGAGGGAGTGCTTGATGCCCACTCACCTGAGAGAGGGAGTGCTTGATGCCCACTCACCTGAGAGAGGGAGTGCTTGATGCCCACTCACCTGAGAGAGGGAGTGCTTGATGCTCACTCACCTGAAAGAGGGAGTGCTTGATGCCCACTCACCTGAGAGAGGGAGCACTTGATGCTCACACACCTGAGAGAGGGAGTGTTTGATGCCCACTCACCTGAGGGAGTGCTTGATGCCCACTCAGGTGAGGGAGTGCTTGATGCCCACTCACCTGAGAGAGGGAGTGCTTGATGCTCACTCACCTGAGAGAGGGAGTGCTTGATGCCCACTCACCTGAGAGAGGGAGTGCTTGATGCTCACTCACCTGAGAGGGAGTGCTTGATGCCCACTCACCTGAGAGAGGGAGTGCTTGATGCCCACTCACCTGAGAGAGGGAGTGCTTGATGCCCACTCACCTGAGAGAGGGAGTGCTTGATGCCCACTCACCTGAGAGAGGGAGTGCTTGATGCTCACTCACCTGAGAGAGGGAGTGCTTGATGCCCACTCACCTGAGAGAGGGAGTGCTTGATGCTCACTCACCTGAGAGAGGGAGTGCTTGATGCCCACTCACCTGAGAGAGGGAGTGCTTGATGCCCACTCACCTGAGAGAGGGAGTGCTTGATGCCCACTCACCTGAGAGAGGAAGTGCTTGATGCCCACTCACCTGAGAGAGGGAGTGCTTGATGCTCACTCACCTGAGAGAGGGAGTGCTTGATGCTCACTCACCTGAGAGAGGGAGTGCTTGATGCCCACTCACCTGAGAGAGGGAGTGCTTGATGCCCACTCACCTGAGAGAGGGAGTGCTTGATGCCCACTCACCTGAGAGAGGGAGTGCTTGATGCCCACTCACCTGAGAGAGGGACTGCTTGATGCCCACTCACCTGAGAGAGGGAGTGCTTGATGCCCACTCACCTGAGAGAGGGAGTGCTTGATGCTCACTCTCCTGAGAGAGGGAGTGCTTGATGCTCACTCACCTGAGAGAGGGGGGTGCTTGATGCCCACTCACCTGAGAGAGGGAGTGCTTGATGCTCACTCACCTGAGAGAGGGAGTGCTTGATGCTCACTCTCCTGAGAGAGGGAGTGCTTGATGCTCACTCACCTGAGAGAGGGAGTGCTTGATGCTCACACACCTGAGAGAGGGAGTGCTTGATGCCCACTCACCTGAGAGAGGGAGTGCTTGATGCCCACTAAGTGGAAGTGCTGAGGGTGCAGCACATACTGGTACTTCTTAAAGATGGTCTCAAGTTTGATTGGGTCTTCTTCACCCGCTTGACGGAGCTCCATGTAAATCATCTTATTCAGCCTCTCCACCGTCACAGCCGACACCTCCAGTGGTAAATGAAAACCTCTATTATACTGTATCTCCCAGCGCATATGCACTAATAACAGGTTATGTGCAAACTTAATAACTCTTGTCTAGTCGGCAGGCTTTAAACCCTATTAACCAATCAACCAACCAACCCTTCTTGAGTGTGACCTGATAACGGTTTAGGAGGGACCGAAAAGTCATCTCAATGAATTAGCAATTTACAGTTTGTGGGTTAAACGTGGAGTCGTTGTATTAGCCTACTAAGCACCTGCATCGTGATTATTTCTGTGGCTAACTTTTATGTATCAATAATGGAAGGAAGACACTTGGTGCAGAGTAAATATAAAGAGGGTAGACTCTGTCAAGCTTTGATAAAGCTCTAACTAGAGCGAAGAGTCGTCTATTGTCAATATATGTGCTAGAAAGTGTAAATCATGTGGGTGAATTTGTCGGTTTAATCAGTAACAAACTTCTAACTGTTAACATGGTTAATGATTCTAAGTTATTGTAAAATCACCGAGAAAAGTACAAATATTTATGAATAAAGCCTTAATTTAAATAATAATAATAATAATAATAATAATAATAATAATAATAATAATAATAATAATAATAATAATAATTATTATTATTATTATTATTATTATTATTATTAATATTATTATTATTATTATTATTTTATATTGTTAATACAAGATAATTTTTTATTTACAACATAAAGCACGAAAAATACGAATTTTAACTGGGACTATGATAAACAACGTCGAAAGCTACACTAACAGAGAACTGGTCTAGCATGATTACCTGACCAAGTGGTGGGACCTGCTCTAGCAGGGGTCACATAGCAGTGGGTGACTAAGCAGTGTGACCTGCAGTGGGTGACCAAGAAGTGTGACCTAGTGGTGTGATTTGAAGTGGGTATGAAGCATAAAACTCCTGTCATTGTACTGTTTAGTGATTATAAGTGACCTGGAAGGAAATGGCTGACCTTGTATCGACATCTGTCACAGGCCCAAGGTGCGTCGTTGGTAGGTGCCAGTGGATCGGTAGAGAGAATGTTGCCCCCACAGCCTGGCTGGGAGCACCTGAGTGCCCCGAAGTAGGTGCCCATCTCCGTGGGGTCGCTGCAGCGGGCACAGGTGCAGTCGAAGAACTTGCCATAGCGTAGGTGCTTCCGCCGCTCCGTCGTGGCGGAGAGGATGTGTGTGTAGGTAGCTGCAACACAGTATACAAGGTGTATAGGTAGTTGCAAAACAGTATATAAGGTGAGTGTAGGTAACTGCAACACAGTATACAAGGTGTGTTTAGGTATCTGCAACACAGTATACAAGGTCTGCGTAGGTAGCTGCAACACAGTATACAAGGTGTGTGTAGGTAGCTGCAACACAGTATACAAGGTGTGTGTAGGTAGCTGCAACACAGTACACAAGGTGTATAGGTAGTTGCAAAACAGTATATAAGGTGAGTGTAGGTAACTGCAACACAGTATACAAGGTGTGTTTAGGTATCTGCAACACAGTATACAAGGTCTGCGTAGGTAGATGCAACACAGTATACAAGGTGTGTGTAGGTAGCTGCAACACAGTATACAAGGTGTGTGTAGGTAGCTGCAACACTATACAAGGTGTGCGTAGGTAGATGCAACACAGTATATAAGATGTGTGTAGGTAGCTGCAACACAGTATACAAGGTGTGTAGGTAGCTGCAACACAGTATACAAGGTGTGTGTAGGTAGCTGCAACACAGTATACAAGGTGTGTGTAGGTAGCTGCAACACAGTATGCAAGGTGTGTGTAGGTAACTGCAACACAGTATACAAGGTGTGTGTAGGTAGCTGCAACACAGTATGCAAGGTGTGTGCAGGTAGCTGTAACACAATATGCAAGGTATGTGTAGGTAGCTGCAACACAGTATATAAGGTGTGTAGGGAGCTGCAACACAGTATACAAGGTGTGTAGGTAGCTGTAACACAGTATACAAGGTGTGTAGGTAGCTGCAACACAGTATACAAGGTGTGCAGGTAGCTGCAACACAGTATACAGGTGCGTAGGTAGCTGCAACACAGTATACAGGTGTGTGGGTAACTGCAACACAGTATACAGGTGTGTATGTAGCTGCAACACAGTATAGAGGTGTGTAGGTAACTGCAACACAGTATACAAGTGTATAGGTAGCTGCAACACAGTATACAAGGTGTGTAGGTAGCTGCAGCACAGTATGCAGGTGTGTAGGTAGCTGCAATATAGCATACAGGTGTGTAGGTAGCTGCAACACAGCATACAGGTTTGTAGGTAGCTGGAACACAGTATACAAGGTGTGTAGGTAGCTGGAACACAGTATACAAGGTGTGTAAGTAGCTGCAACACAGTACACAGGTGTATAGGTAGCTGCAACACAGTATACAAGGTGTGTAGGTAGCTGCAACACAGTACACAGGTGTATAGGTAGCTGCAACACAGTATACAAGGTGTGTAGGTAGCTGCAACACAGTACACAGGTGTATAGGTAGCATGCAACACAGTATACAAGGTGTTGTAGGTAGCTGGAACACAGTATGCAAGGTGTGTAAGTAGCTGCAAACACAGTACAACAGGTGTGTAGGTAGCTGCAACACAGTACACAGGTGTGTAGGTAGCTGCAACACAGTATACAAGGTGTGTAGGTAGCTGGAACACAGTATGCAAGGTGTGTAAGTAGCTGCAACACAGTACACAGGTGTGTAGGTAGCTGCAACACAGTACACAGGTGTGTAGGTAGCTGCAACACAGTATACAAGGTGTGTAGGTAGCTGCAACACAGTACACAGGTGTATAGGTAGCTGCAACACAGTATACAAGGTGTGTAGGTAGCTGGAACACAGTATGCAAGGTGTGTAAGTAGCTGCAACACAGTACACAGGTGTGTAGGTAGCTGCAACACAGTACACAGGTGTACAGGTAGCTGCAACACAGTATACAAGAACGTATGTGCTTCATATTATCTGCTATAACATAGTCTGTTCAATTTATTTATATAATAATCTATGTTATTTGCTACATAATTATCAATATGATTTATTTTTGTTAGAAAAGTTTATATATTTTATTTTTTCAATGCACTTTATTTGAATTATCTTATCTAAATAATTTATTTATTCCATAAAATTGTCTATATGCTTTATTTGCGCAACGGAAATGTTTATATACTTTATTTGTAGTCCTAAGACTTTAAACTTAAGTTTAAATGGCTGAATTAAAGTAGTAAGTGCATCTTCGACACATAAGCGAACGACGCAGGTTTAATCCTGGGGCAGATGGAGACGTTGAGGATGTTTAATGACAACTGTTGCCTGTTACCCTCTAGATCATTTTTTTTTTGCATTACACATCTCCATTTCATTGAATTTATTAACATTAAATTCCATCATCCGTCTGTCACTACATCTGCTAAATTTATCTGTATCATCTTATAAAGATATACATTAACTTTACTCTTTTATTTTGTACATTATCTACAAACAAATTCTTATAGTTTCTATTCCTTCCGTTAAGTTATTTATATAAATATAAAACTGTATAGGGAAAAGTACAGATCCTTGAGGCACCCCACTGGTAACACGAAGTCTCTCGTCTACTGTAATAGTTTACCTCGTATGTTTTGAAGGTTCCAAATTAATATCTCATGGGGAACTCTGTAAAATGCCTTCTTAAAATCTATATAAGTACAATCTTACAATCTATTTTTTATCTTGAACAGTTTCTGTGACTGTCGTAAGAGTAGGTTATTCCTTTCAAAACGTTTTCTTTCCACTTTTCTGTGACAACTTTTTTTTTTTGCAACACTTGTCAGCGAAACTGACCTACAGTTTCAAGAGGCTTCCCTGTTACCTTCCTTAAATACTGGAACGATGTGTACTATCTTCCATTTGTCTGCCAGTTGACACACTCTAAGTGAAATTCTTAAAAAGTTTCAGTGGACAACTCATATCTTCTGCATAATATTTTAAAGCCCATGGTGCTGTCTCATCAACTGTATGAGCAGTATGAGCCCTTCTTGTTTAGTTAATTTTTCTCTTCCTTCCACGTTCCTTTTCAGATTTATTTCCACCACGTCACCAGAACACAACACCGGATGATCACTCATTCCAAGTGAAGACTCATATTTCACTCACGTGTCAAACACCTGTCAAACACACATTCCACATACCTGTCACAAATCTGTCAAACATGCATCATAAGCCTGCCAAATATGTGTCACACACCTGTCATCTGCTCTCCCTTCTTGATGGGCGTGGAGGCGATGACGACCATGGTCATGTCGTCCATGAGAGTGTGGTGAGTGTTGTTGACACAGAAGTGAGACATCATGGCACACAGAGGGTAGATTCCTCTCACCAGGTATGGGTCCCTCGTACCTGTAAGTAACAACAGCCACAGCTCAGTCAGTACATGAGATGGGATTGATAATTGATTGTTTTAAAAAGCATTTAGAAAATAGATCCCACAACATAACTATCATATAGAACAGGATAGCTGCATACTACGAGTATATCCAAACATTTCAAAAACAAGTATTCATTGCAAAATTTGTTAATTTTGCTTACAACCTAACAGGAACTCGGAGTGTCATAAGGCTCCACGTAACCTAAGCACCACCAGTCAAAAATACTTTAATTCCTAAAATAGGGATTAAAGTAAACCCTGTGCACACTGTATATACATTAAGAGACACAACTCTCGGTGTATATACATCCTGCTGGAATAACAGGGATACTAGTGGCTTTTTGTTGTGCTTAACAATATTTTATTGCCTGTAAAATTGATTATTATTTTGTTGAACTGACCTGGGATGTTACTGCGGACTTCATGGCAGTTGACATCAAGGATGCCGGTGATGGTGTGGATGAGTTCCTCATCCACTGACAACTTCACTCGCTGTAGCAGGTAGTCCACCACGTTGGTCTGAGGCATAACAACACATCATTCTACTCGGCCACTTACACATCAGTTTACAAGAAAAAAAAATTATGCCTGTGTCGACACAAGTTGAAGAATGAGTTTAAATATTTAAGACTGTTATTGCTTTTGTTTGCATATTTCACGTTACAGTGAGTTTACGAGGTCTGATGACAACGAGAAAGAAACACAGAAAGAGGTATTATGGAGGCAGTAAATGTCGAAATCTTGGAGGAAATAGGACGCCTAGGACACATTTACTGGAAACGTATTGGTCATGAGATCTTGATCACCTCAAATACATTTGAATATTTGAAGACATCAAGATCCAGGAACGAAACATCTTCAATAAAGGCGCCGCCAGTGAATGCATTAGTGTGTCTTCACATGCATACACACACACACACACACACACACACACACACACACACACACACACACACACACACACACACACATATATATATATATATATATATATATATATATATATATATATATATATATATATATATATATATATATATATATATATATATATATGTCGTGCCGAATAGGCAGAACTTGCGATTTTGGCTTAAATAGCAACGCTCATCCTGCCATATAAGACAAGTGAAAATTTTTGTATGCAATAATTTCGCCTAAAGTATTCTGAACTTAAAGAAAAAAATATATTTGATTGTGTTTGTTTAGTATTAAATTATTGTAAACGTATTTAAAATATATTTAGCTGGGTTAGGCTAAAATAAATTGCTCTTGTTATAATAAGGTTAGGTAAGTTTTCTAATATTCTTTTGGTGCAAAATTAAAATTTTTTACATTAACATTAATGCAAAAAATATATCTTTAAACGTATAAGAGAAAATTTCAGAAAGGAATTAATTTTAAATGAGTTCTTGCTAATTGACCAGTTTTACATATTCGGCACGACATATATATATATATATATATATATATATATATATATATATATATATATATATATATTTTATTGTAACCACGAACGAGTGATATTGATCAGTAACAACACTGCACTAGCCAAGGACTCGAACCCATGCTGCTTTGGCCTGCCTCATGGTGGGCGAAAACACATGACGCCGTAATCCACTGGACCATACGACCATACGTGATTTCTCACATTATCAAGAAATAGTAAAATAATAGGATAAGAGATTTATAAAGCCGCTGTATGACCTGACATGATCCAGCTCACTGAGTCTGGGAGTCTAGTGAAGATATACTCAACTCACATGTCAAGTAAATTTTTTTTTTAAGGGTGACTTTTCATTCATAGTTTAAAATCTTCACAAATTCTATTCATTATAAATGAATCTAATTTATACAAACCAAAATTTATATTCATATTGCAATCAACATTATTTTTTATGGAGCTTGAGTCGATTATATTTCGCTCATCCATGGACTCTCTTGATACATCTTTCTCGGTCTTTTGAAAGTCAATTGGATGGTTAAAATCTTTCACATGAATAAACATACGCATTAAACTCATATTTATTTCTAATCCTATATTTTTGTTGATGCAATCTTAGTTCAAAACTTTTACCAGTTTGACCATAGTAAACTTTATCGCATTTTCTACAGGGAATCTTTCAGACAATCATCAGCATTTTGGGGAGATTTCTTAATCAAAAGATTTTCTTAATGTATCAAGATTTTTAAATACAATATTGATTTTGAAAAGTTTTCATGGTAAGGCAGAACCAATATATTCTTGGATGAATATGTTTCTTTGTCCTTTGAACTGTAAAATATATTTACCCAGTGAACCTTAACACTTTACTCAGTGAACCTTAACACTTTACCCAGTGAACCTTAACACTTTACCCAGTGAACCTTAACACTTTACTCAGTGAACCTTAACACTTTACCCAGTGAACCTTAACACTTTACTCAGTGAACCTTAACACTTTACCCAGTGAACCTTAACACTTTACTCAGTGAACCTTAACACTTTACCCAGTGAACCTTAACACTTTACTCAGTGAACCTTAAACACTTTACCCAGTGAACCTTAACACTTTACCCAGTGAACCTTAACACTTTACCCAGTGAACCTTAACACTTTACCCAGTGAACCTTAACACTTTACTCAGTGAACCTTAACACTTTACTCAGTGAACCTTAACACTTTACCCAGTGAACCTTAACACTTTACTCAGTGAACCTTAACACTTTACCCAGTGAACCTTAACACTTTACTCAGTGAACCTTAACACTTTACCCAGTGAACCTTAACACTTTACTCAGTGAACCTTAACACATTACTCAGTGAACCTTAACACTTTACTCAGTGAACCTTAACACTTTACTCAGTGAACCTTAACACTTTACCCAGTGAACCTTAACACTTTACCCAGTGAACCTTAACACTTTACTCAGTGAACCTTAACACTTTACTCAGTGAACCTTAACACTTCACCCAGTGAACCTTAACACTTTACCCAGTGAACCTTAACACTTTACTCAGTGAACCTTAACACTTTACCCAGTGAACCTTAACACTTTACTCAGTGAACCTTAACACTTTACTCAGTGAACCTTAACACTTTACCCAGTGAACCTTAACACTTTACTCAGTGAACCTTAACACTTTACCCAGTGAACCTTAACACTTCACCCAGTGAACCTTAACACTTTACTCAGTGAACCTTAACACTTTACTCAGTGAACCTTAACACTTTACCCAGTGAACCTTAACACTTCACCCAGTGAACCTTAACACTTTACTTAGTGAACCTTAACACTTTACTCAGTGAACCTTAACACTTTACCCAGTGAACCTTAACACTTTACCCAGTGAACCTTAACACTTTACTCAGTGAACCTTAACACTTTACTCAGTGAACCTTAACACTTTACCCAGTGAACCTTAACACTTTACCCAGTGAATCTTAACACTTTACCCAGTGAACCTTAACACTTTACCCAGTGAACCTTAACACTTTACTCAGTGAACCTTAACACTTTACTCAGTGAACCTTAACACTTTACCCAGTGAACCTTAACACTTTACCCAGTGAATCTTAACACTTTACCCAGTGAATCTTAACACTTTACTCAGTGAATCTTAACACTTTACTCAGTGAATCTTAACACTTTACTCAGTGAACCTTAACACTTTACTCAGTGAACCTTAACACTTTACCCAGTGAATCTTAACACTTTACTCAGTGAATCTTAACACTTTACTCAGTGAATATTAACACTTTACTCAGTGACTCTTAACACTTTACTCAGTGAATCTTAACACTTTACTCAGTGAATCTTAACACTTTACTCAGTGACTCTTAACACTTTACTCAGTGAATATTAACACTTTACTCAGTGAATCTTAACACTTTACTCAGTGAATATTAACACTTTACTCAGTGAATCTTAACACTTTACTCAGTGAATCTTAATACTTTACTCAGTGAATCTTAACACTTTACTCAGTGAACCTTAACACTTTACCCAGTGAATCTTAACACTTTACTCAGTGAATCTTAACACTTTACTCAGTGAATCTTAACACTTTACTCAGTGAATATTAACACTTTACTCAGTGACTCTTAACACTTTACTCAGTGAATATTAACACTTTACTCAGTGAATCTTAACACTTTACTCAGTGAATATTAACACTTTACTCAGTGAATCTTAACACTTTACTCAGTGAATATTAACACTTTACTCAGTGAATATTAACACTTTACTCAGTGAATATTAACACTTTACTCAGTGAATATTAACACTTTATTCAGTGAATATTAACACTTTACTCAGTGAATCTTAACACTTTACTCAGTGAATATTAACACTTTACTCAGTGAATCTTAACACTTTACTCAGTGAATCTTAACACTTTACTCAGTGAATATTAACACTTTACTCAGTGAATATTAACACTTTTTACTCAGTGAATATTAACACTTTACTCAGTGAATCTTAACACTTTACTCAGTGAATATTAACACTTTTTACTCAGTGAATATTAACACTTTACTCAGTGAATATTAACACTTTACTCAGTGAATCTTAACACTTTACTCAGTGAATATTAACACTTTTTACTCAGTGAATATTAACACTTTACTCAGTGAATATTAACACTTTACTCAGTGAATATTAACACTTTACTCAGTGAATATTAACACTTTTTACTCAGTGAATATTAACACTTTACTCAGTGAATCTTAACACTTTACTCAGTGAATATTAACACTTTACTCAGTGAATCTTAACACTTTACTCAGTGAATCTTAATACTTTACTCAGTGAATCTTAACACTTTACTCAGTGAACCTTAACACTTTACCCAGTGAATCTTAACACTTTACTCAGTGAATCTTAACACTTTACTCAGTGAATATTAACACTTTTTACTCAGTGAATATTAACACTTTACTCAGTGAATATTAACACTTTACTCAGTGAATCTTAACACTTTACTCAGTGAATATTAACACTTTTTACTCAGTGAATATTAACACTTTACTCAGTGAATATTAACACTTTACTCAGTGAATATTAACACTTTACTCAGTGAATATTAACACTTTTTACTCAGTGAATATTAACACTTTACTCAGTGAATCTTAACACTTTACTCAGTGAATATTAACACTTTACTCAGTGAATCTTAACACTTTACTCAGTGAATCTTAATACTTTACTCAGTGAATCTTAACACTTTACTCAGTGAACCTTAACACTTTACCCAGTGAATCTTAACACTTTACTCAGTGAATCTTAACACTTTACTCAGTGAATCTTAACACTTTACTCAGTGAATATTAACACTTTACTCAGTGACTCTTACACTTTACTCAGTGAATATTAACACTTTACTCAGTGAATCTTAACACTTTACTCAGTGAATATTAACACTTTACTCAGTGAATCTTAACACTTTACTCAGTGAATATTAACACTTTACTCAGTGAATATTAACACTTTACTCAGTGAATATTAACACTTTACTCAGTGAATTAACACTTTACTCAGTGAATATTAACACTTTACTCAGTGAATCTTAACACTTTACTCAGTGAATATTAACACTTTACTCAGTGAATCTTAACACTTTACTCAGTGAATATTAACACTTTACTCAGTGAATATTAACACTTTTTACTCAGTGAATATTAACACTTTACTCAGTGAATCTTAACACTTTACTCAGTGAATATTAACACTTTTTACTCAGTGAATATTAACACTTTACTCAGTGAATATTAACACTTTACTCAGTGAATCTTAACACTTTACTCAGTGAATATTAACACTTTTTACTCAGTGAATATTAACACTTTACTCAGTGAATATTAACACTTTACTCAGTGAATATTAACACTTTACTCAGTGAATATTAACACTTTTTACTCAGTGAATATTAACACTTTACTCAGTGAATATTAACACTTTACTCAGTGAATCTTAACACTTTACTCAGTGAATATTAACACTTTTTACTCAGTGAATATTAACACTTTACTCAGTGAATATTAACACTTTACTCAGTGAATCTTAATACTTTACTCAGTGAATCTTAACACTTTACTCAGTGAACCTTAACACTTTACCCAGTGAATCTTAACACTTTACTCAGTGAATCTTAACACTTTACTCAGTGAATCTTAACACTTTACTCAGTGAATATTAACACTTTACTCAGTGACTCTTAACACTTTACTCAGTGAATATTAACACTTTACTCAGTGAATCTTAACACTTTACTCAGTGAATATTAACACTTTACTCAGTGAATCTTAACACTTTACTCAGTGAATATTAACACTTTACTCAGTGAATATTAACACTTTACTCAGTGAATATTAACACTTTACTCAGTGAATATTAACACTTTATTCAGTGAATATTAACACTTTACTCAGTGAATCTTAACACTTTACTCAGTGAATATTAACACTTTACTCAGTGAATCTTAACACTTTACTCAGTGAATCTTAACACTTTACTCAGTGAATATTAACACTTTACTCAGTGAATATTAACACTTTTTACTCAGTGAATATTAACACTTTACTCAGTGAATCTTAACACTTTACTCAGTGAATATTAACACTTTTTACTCAGTGAATATTAACACTTTACTCAGTGAATATTAACACTTTACTCAGTGAATCTTAACACTTTACTCAGTGAATATTAACACTTTTTACTCAGTGAATATTAACACTTTACTCAGTGAATATTAACACTTTACTCAGTGAATATTAACACTTTACTCAGTGAATATTAACACTTTTTACTCAGTGAATATTAACACTTTACTCAGTGAATTCTTAACACTTTACTCAGTGAATATTAACACTTTACTCAGTGAATCTTAACACTTTACTCAGTGAATCTTAATACTTTACTCAGTGAATCTTAACACTTTACTCAGTGAACCTTAACACTTTACCCAGTGAATCTTAACACTTTACTCAGTGAATCTTAACACTTTACTCAGTGAATATTAACACTTTTTACTCAGTGAATATTAACACTTTACTCAGTGAATATTAACACTTTACTCAGTGAATCTTAACACTTTACTCAGTGAATATTAACACTTTTTACTCAGTGAATATTAACACTTTACTCAGTGAATATTAACACTTTACTCAGTGAATATTAACACTTTACTCAGTGAATATTAACACTTTTTACTCAGTGAATATTAACACTTTACTCAGTGAATCTTAACACTTTACTCAGTGAATATTAACACTTTACTCAGTGAATCTTAACACTTTACTCAGTGAATCTTAATACTTTACTCAGTGAATCTTAACACTTTACTCAGTGAACCTTAACACTTTACCCAGTGAATCTTAACACTTTACTCAGTGAATCTTAACACTTTACTCAGTGAATCTTAACACTTTACTCAGTGAATATTAACACTTTACTCAGTGACTCTTAACACTTTACTCAGTGAATATTAACACTTTACTCAGTGAATCTTAACACTTTACTCAGTGAATATTAACACTTTACTCAGTGAATCTTAACACTTTACTCAGTGAATATTAACACTTTACTCAGTGAATATTAACACTTTACTCAGTGAATATTAACACTTTACTCAGTGAATATTAACACTTTACTCAGTGAATATTAACACTTTACTCAGTGAATCTTAACACTTTACTCAGTGAATATTAACACTTTACTCAGTGAATCTTAACACTTTACTCAGTGAATATTAACACTTTACTCAGTGAATATTAACACTTTTTACTCAGTGAATATTAACACTTTACTCAGTGAATCTTAACACTTTACTCAGTGAATATTAACACTTTTTACTCAGTGAATATTAACACTTTACTCAGTGAATATTAACCACTTTACTCAGTGAATCTTAACACTTTACTCAGTGAATATTAACACTTTTTACTCAGTGAATATTAACACTTTTACTCAGTGAATATTAACACTTTACTCAGTGAATATTAACACTTTACTCAGTGAATATTAACACTTTTTACTCAGTGAATATTAACACTTTACTCAGTGAATATTAACACTTTACTCAGTGAATCTTAACACTTTACTCAGTGAATATTAACACTTTTTACTCAGTGAATATTAACACTTTACTCAGTGAATATTAACACTTTACTCAGTGAATATTAACACTTTACTCAGTGAATATTAACACTTTTTACTCAGTGAATATTAACACTTTACTCAGTGAATATTAACACTTTACTCAGTGAATCTTAAAAAACTGGACAATTCTTAATTTAATTTTGTTTATCCTTTGTTCCTCGACATTGTCCGGACAAACGGACTTTGCACATTAACTCCAAAATCCATAATTAATATTCTTTAAATCGAGGTTATATATGAACACATCTTATGGGAGTAATTTTACAGGCGGTATTTTTAACATGGTAAGTTTTTCTCTATATAAGGAAGAACAAACTGTATAGAAGATGGGAACCACCTCTCTCTCTGCTGTCTTTACTCTCCTCTCTCTCTCTGCTGTCTTTACTCTCCTCTCTCTCTCTGCTGTCTTTACTCTCCTCTCTCTCTCTGCTGTCTTTACTCTCCTCTCTCTCTCTGCTGTCTTTACTCTCCTCTCTCTCTCTGCTGTCTTTACTCTCCTCTCTCTCTCTGCTGTCTTTACTCTCTTCTCTCTCTCTGCTGTCTTTACTCTCCTCTCTCTCTCTGCTGTCTTTACTCTCCTCTCTCTCTCTGCTGTCTTTACTCTCCTCTCTCTCTCTGCTGTCTTTACTCTCCTCTCTCTCTCTGCTGTCTTTACTCTCCTCTCTCTCTGCTGTCTTTACTCTCCTCTCTCTCTCTGCTGTCTTTACTCTCTTCTCTCTCTCTGCTGTCTTTACTCTCCTCTCTCTCTCTGCTGTCTTTACTCTCTTCTCTCTCTCTGCTGTCTTTACTCTCCTCTCTCTCTCTGCTGTCTTTACTCTCCTCTCTCTCTCTGCTGTCTTTACTCTCCTCTCTCTCTGCTGTCTTTACTCTCCTCTCTCTCTCTGCTGTCTTTACTCTCTTCTTCTCTCTCTGCTGTCTTTACTCTCCTCTCTCTCTCTGCTGTCTTTACTCTCCTCTCTCTCTCTGCTCTCTTTACTCTCCTCTCTCTCTCTGCTGTCTTTACTCTCCTCTCTCTCTCTGCTGTCTTTACTCTCTTCTCTCTTCATACCTACTGTTCTTTACTCACTCCTCTAACAGTGAATATGATAATTGTATATAGTACCGATAAACTGATAAGACACGTGCAACAGTTAGGTAACTTTATTCCGAAACGTTTCGCCTACACAGTAGGCTTCTTCAGTCGAGAAGACGTGAGGCAGCAGAAGCAGTCGAAATTTAAAGACGATATAAGTAGTTCATCAAGGGTGATGCACTGATTACACTGTCTTTACATCTCGACTGCTTCTGCTGCCACCTCTGTACTCGACTGAAGAAGACTACTGTATAGGCGATACGTTTCGGAATAAAGTTACTTAACTGTTACTTATCAACTCCCTGTTCCTTCTCGTTGGCACTCACCTGCTCTCTGTCCCAGAGTTCGGTGCCACGTCTGAGGTCATTGTGGCTCTCCATGGCAATAAGTGTCTGCCACTTCTCGGGCTCCACTTTGCTCAGACTGTAACACCTGCGGCAGTAGTGCTAATAATTACAGGAACTCAAATTAAACTGCACAATAAATAAATGTGAAACGAACGAATAGCAAAAAGAAGAAAACAGATATAAATGATAATATAATTACAAATGAAAATAAAAGTAAATACATATAATTTAGAAAGAAAACACGTGAAAATAAATGATAGACAGGTAATATGTACAAAGACCCAGTAACAGGGTCACTATCCTGAGGGAATGTAGAAGACACGGGTCACTATGGTGACTCCTGTCAGTAATTTGATCATTTCTTAACCTTTCTAGTAATTTCGACTTGCTTATTGACTTGGGTATGAATTATCGCGGAGGCAGAGGCACTATAAACACTATGGAAAGGTTTTTTTAAGGGAACGTTTCGCTCAGTGATCAAGCTTTTTAAAGACATGAACATCTTGGTCTCTATGCTCGGTCTCCAGGCTTGGTCTCCAGGCTTGGTCTTCATGCTCGGTGTCCAGGCTTGGTCTCCAAGTTTGGTCTCCAAGTTTGGTCTCCAAGCTTGGTCTCCAAGCTTGGTCTCCAAGCTTGGTCTCCAAGCGGAGCGCTGTCTTAAACTTTCTATACTATAACAATGTTTTTATTTCAATTTTCGGTATTTTACTCCCCTAGAATTATAAATTATCATGTTAAATTAAAAGTGTACCCAAGACACGTCGCAGACAGGAACTGAGCAAATTAGGTTCCACTGCAGTTTTCACTTCTTTAATTATGAGCTATAAACAAGTTTGCAATTAACATTGTTGCATTAATGACGGAACAATGATCGTATTGCCTGTTCTAATATGTCTATTGTTTTTAAACTCAGAAGCTGATAGAGATTTGGTATATCTTTTTACAGGAGTGTGAGAGAGAAGAAGAAATGGGAGGGAGAAGATTTTGGGAAGGAATGGAAAGAGGACGGGAGGTATGAGGGGAGGGAACGAGAGAGGGAAGAGAGAAAATGAAGGAGGGGCATAAAAATAAATGGGATGTTACAGCAGGCAATGAAAGGAGTGTCGGATGCTGTGAGTGTCGACATCTTAACCAGCGATCTCTTCACCTGTTGATGAATCGTTTGAGACAAGTCCCAACTACGACCGAACTCACTTTCACTTTCACCATATCGCACAGCTCACGGAACGGAATGGGGTTTGAACTCAAGACAAGCCAATTCTAAAACTTGCGGGCCAGGGAGCTATCAACTGTATGGTTGAATGAGTTGTTTTCAATCGTCACAACATAATTTCCTGAAGTAACATCTCACATGTCTGGCTATGATATTTATGCCGTAGATCATATGTACAACACTCGTGTCCACGAAATAAAGAGATCACATTATCGTGGAAGAGGAGTTTGGAAGGTAACGTGACGCTAGTTATTCCGAATGTAGGAAAGAGTTGGATCCTTTCATAAACGAAATACACGTACACAAAACTGTTGTTCAATACTGTTAAGTAGGTAGATAAAAGACACCTACCTGAGGAACAACACACCTACCTGAGGGACAACACACCTACCTGAGGAACAACACACCTACCTGAGGGACAACACACCTACCTGAGGAACAACACACCTACCTGAGGAACAACACACCTACCTGAGGGACAACACACCTACCTGAGGAACAACACACCTACCTGAGGGACAACACACCTACCTGAGGAAACAACACACCTACCTGAGGGACAACACACCTACCTGAGGAACAACACACCTACCTGAGGGACAACACACCTACCTGAGGAACAACACACCTACCTGAGGGACAACACACCTACCTGAGGAACAACACACCTACCTGAGGGACAACACACCTACCTGAGGAACAACACACCTACCTGAGGAACAACACACCTACCTGAGGAACAACACACCTACCTGAGGGACAACACACCTACCTGAGGAACAACACACCTACCTGAGGGACAACACACCTACCTGAGGAACAACACACACTACCTGAGGGACAACACACCTACCTGAGGAACAACACACCTACCTGAGGGACAACACACCTACCTGAGGAACAACACACCTACCTGAGGGACAACACACCTACCTGAGGAACAACACACCTACCTGAGGGACAACACACCTACCTGAGGAACAACACACCTACCTGAGGAACAACACACCTACCTGAGGAACAACACACCTACCTGAGGGACAACACACCTACCTGAGGAACAACACACCTACCTGAGGGACAACACACCTACCTGAGGAACAACACACCTACCTGAGGAACAACACACCTACCTGAGGAACAACACACCTACCTGAGGGACAACACACCTACCTGAGGAACAACACACCTACCTGAGGGACAACACACCTACCTGAGGAACAACACACCTACCTGAGGAACAACACACCTACCTGAGGAACAACACACCTACCTGAGGAACAACACACCTACCTGAGGGACAACACACCTACCTGAGGAACAACACACCTACCTGAGGGGCAACACACCTACCTGAGGGGCAACATGGCTTCATACATGTATTGAGCCTCGTCAAAGTCCTGCAGGCGAGGTCTGTAGCCGGAGGCAGCGAAGGCGTTACACTCCAAGGGATGGTAGCCTTTATCCTCGCAGTCTGGACCACACAGCGGCCACCCACACCTGTGCAGGGTACACCTGATGAGTCGTGTGTATGTGTACTCGCCTAATTATGGTTGCAGGGGTCGAGACTCAGCTCCTGGCCCCCACTCTTCACTGAGCGCTACTAGGTCCTCTCTCTCCCTGCTCCATGAGCTTTATCATACCTCATCTTAAAGCTATGTATGGTTCCTGTGTGTGTGTGTGTTTGTAGAACTTGTTCCATTTAACATATTGCTTGAACAGATATAATTATTAATAGTATATTGATCATTCGGTTCTGGTAACCATTATTTTGACAAACTTGGCATTGCAAGGGACAAGAGCTAGATCTACTACTGATAGTGGGATTGGTTGTGTCTAGTCCCAAACTGTGGCTGTCACCAACCTCTCCATGTACGAGAATTTCTTGGTTGAAGTATCACTTAAAACCCTTAAAACCCTCTGTAGTGTGCTTGGTAGAGCGTTGAACACCGCTAATGGCAGCTTCCACTTCCCTTACCGCTTCTAATATATATAATATATAATAATATATATATATATATATATATATATATATATATATATATATATATAAAATATATATATATATATATTTTATATATGTAATATATATAAATAAAAATATATATAATATATATATATATATATAAATATATATATATATAAAATATATGCATAATAGCATAATATACATGCGTAATATGGTTTTCCCTGGATCATGTGATCTGACAGATGGTTAGCGTGTATTGTGTATTAATTATGTTCTGAACTCTTCATCCCCCTTTTCATTCTAACTGAAAATTTATTAAACGAAAGATCTTATTATTATGAAGGAATCTGGAGAAATTAAATCACCGACCCACAGCTTTACTTATATTTTCTCATATTCTTTCCAAGTTATTATTATGCAACCTAAGTAGCTATTTAGTTTCCTCTTCCAAACAGTATCTTCCCATCCCTACTTACTTAAGTTATTTAGTACATAAGTGATTTCCAACATGTAAATAACTCTGGATCAACTTCCTGTCCTCGTAGTTCTGTCCACCACACTCTCTCTCAAACTCTTTTTCTTCACAGTTTTCCTCACCGTCTTTCTCTTTCTCTCTCTCTCCAAGCCTTCTCTCCCTCCTCAGTACAAACCCTCTTCTCCTCCCTCCCTACAAACCCCCCTCTCTTCCATCCCTAAAAACCCTCTTCTCCTCCCTACAAACCCTCCTCTCTTGCCCCCCTACAAACCCTCTTCTTTTCCCCTCCCTACAAATCCCCCTCTCTTCCCTCCCTACAAACCCTCTTCTCCTCCATCCCTACAACCCCCCTCTCTCCCTCCCTACAAACCTTCTTCTCCTCCCCCCCTACAAACCCCCCTCTCTTCCCTCCCTACAAACCTTTTTCTCCTCCCCTCCCTACAAACTCCCCTCCCCTTCCCTCCCTACAAACCTCCTTCTCTCTCCCTACAAACCCTCCTCCTTGCCTCCCTACAAACCCTCTTCTCCTCCCTCCCTACAAACCTCTTCTCCTCCCTCCCTACAAACCCTCCTCTCTTCCCTCCTACAACCTCCTTCTCTCTCCCTACAAACCCTCCTCTCTTGCCTCCCTACAAACCCTCTTCTTCCCCCTCCCTACAAACCCTCTTCTCCCCCCCTAAAAACCCCCTCCTCTCTTCCCTCCCTACAACCTTCTTCTCCTCCCTCCCTACAAACCCTCATCTCTTGCTCCCTCCCTACAAACCCTCCTCTCTTTCCTCCCTACAAACCCTCTTTTCCTTCCTCCCTACAAATCCTCTTTCCCCCCTCCTACAAACCCTCTTCTCCTCCCTCCCTACAAACCCTCCTCTCTTCCCTCCTACAAACCTTCTTCTCCTCCCTCCCTACAAACCCTCTCTCTTCCCTCCCTACAAACCCTCTTCTCCTCCCTCCCTACAAACCCTCCTCTCTCCCTCCCTACAAACCTTCTTCTCCTCCCTCCCTACAAACCCTCATCTCTTGCCTCCCTCCCTACAAACCCTCCTCTCTTTCCTCCCTAAAAACCCCTCTTCTCCTCCCCCCTACAATCCTCTTCTTCTCCCTCCCTACAAACCCTCTTCTCCTCCCTCCCTAAAAAACCCTCCTCTCTTCCCTCCCTACAAACCTCTTCTCCTCCCTCCCTACAAACCTCCTCTCTTCCCTCCCTCCCAAACTCCTTCTCTTCCCTACAAACCCCCCTCTCTTCCCTCCCTACAAACCCCTTCTCCTCCCTCCCTACAAATCTTCCTCTCTCCCTCCCTACAAACTCCTTCTCTCTCCCTACAAACCCTCCTCTCTTGCCTCCCTACAAACCCTCATCCTTGCCTCCCTCCCTACAAACCCTCTTCTCCTCCCTCCCTACAAACCCTCTTCTTCTCCTTCCCTACAAACCCTCTTCTCCCTCCCTACAAACCCTCCTCTCTTCCCTCCCTACAAAACCTTTTTTCCCCTCCTCCCTAAAAAAACCCTCCTCTCTTCCCTCCCTACAAACGTCTTTCTCTCTCCCTACAAACCCTCTTCTCCTCCCTCCCTACAAACCCTCATCTCTTGCCTCCCTCCCTACAAACCCTCTTCTCCTCCCTCCCTACAAACTCTCCTCTCCTCCCTACCAACAAACCCTTCTCTCCTCCCTTCCTATGAACCCTCCTTCCTTCCCTCATTGCCTCACTTTGAGCACTGGTAGTCGTCCCAGGAGTTGAGGCGACGGTAGCAGGCGAGACAGATGACGTCTGAGGTTTGTTTGGGACCTGTGACGACGGGATGGTCCACGAAGAGCACCTCTCCCTCCTTGATGTCCTGCGTGGCGATGGTGCACCTGGACGACACACATGAAGTCAACCCTAAGTTTAACATCTCCAAAATTTCTTATATTTTCCCTACGATGGTGGTGGCATTCTCCACCTCAATTATCTGTGCTTAGGGATCTACAACCGCTAATCACCTACAACCTATCTTTACCCAAAAAATCAGCTGTTAGAATAATCACTCAGTCTGGTTCCAAACAACACACATCTCTCACTATACAAACCTCATAACTTACTAAACATTCACAATTATTGCTGTGCTTATTTTACGTTCACTAAACTGTGAACGTCAACCCAGTGCTCCGATTCTTCCTAGAAAGCGGCAATGGAACACATAAAACAATACTAAAATCAAGTATCTCTTTGATATACCACCTGTGCGACTCATCCTATTTAGGAGCAGGTAGGTGAGTACAGCTAGATGAGTACATCTAGGAGAGTATAACAAAGTGAGTACAGAAGTATCGCTTACCTGCCATAAGGCTCAATGTATTCAATCTTCCATTTCCTCTTCTCTTTCTTATTGATGACGTGTGGAGGCGCCTTGGACTGTGACAGGTGAGAGCCAGGTAGTACATGATGACTTGACTTACGTTACGTTTCAATAGATTAGGCTATAAAACATTGGGTTAAAACAAATTAGGTAAGAATAATAATTGTTTAAGATTAGAACAGATTAGCTTTTAGTGGGTTAGGACAGAATAGATTACGTTAGAATAGATTAACTTAGAATAGGTTAGCTTGGAATAGTTTAGCTTAGAAGAGATTAGAATACACTGGGTTAGAGTAGATTAGGATACACTGGGTTAGAATAGACTGTTTGAATATAATAAAATAGATTAGGTTTGAAAAGAATAAATAATGTAGGTCATATTACATTGTTTGAAGAAATTAAACTAGATCAGGTTAGAATAGATTAGGTTAGAACAGACTAGTTTAAAACATATTTGGTTAGTTCAGGTAACAGTATTATTATTATACTCATAACTAAGCGCTAAACCCACAAGGGCTATACAACGCTGCACCAGGTAACAGTAGTAATTTAGCTTTAGTCTTAACTAATGATTCATTGCAAATCGTCTACCTAATAATGTGCTAAATAATTCAACGATTCAACTTCCTCTGATCATCTCTCAGTTAGGGGGGAAAATTATTTACGGGAAATTATTTCGATTTTCTTGCATAATATCTGAATTATATCTGAGTTATAAGCATGTACTTACCACACTGTACTTGAACCAGTTGTACATAACATCTATATGGTAGGGGTCATCCATGTTGCGTGTGTCGTAGCTCACTCCTGCTCTCTGTTAAGTCTTGCAGTTCTTTGAGTGCTCGGCTCTTCTGATCCTCACTAACCAACCGTTTACCTGCAGGGAAGATACATACAGCGGATGTTAATATACCTGGTAGGTTATAGAAATTGAAACGACATTTCACAATGTTGTTGATCAACACTGGTGTTTACGTTGATGGTTCAGGTGGGATAGAGTACATAGTCCTTCAGTCTCCACAAACCACTTGTCAGGTGCACTTCCCTGAGAAGTTGCTTCCTTGAACAGATGATAGGTGTTCAGTCTCTTAGTCTTGAAGAGTTGATAAATGTTCATTGTCTTAACCTTTATGAGTTAATAGGTGTTGACTGTGTATATTGTATACCATTAATGCCTTCTGACTGTGTTTACTTTCTTTTAAATATGTCACCTCAATGTAACAACACGAAACTTATTTAAGGATGATGAAGGGTGCTAGCAAAATGCTCCCACCTATCAAGGCTAGCATGACGTGGCTCTCCTGACAACCCCAGCAAGCCACCTGGTGCCTCTGTCGATGTTGGATTTGCATTAAGAAAAGCTGTCCAAAATGTTCTTTTACATTATAGTACTTGCAAATCGTCCTCTTCTGTCTGATCTGATAAGGGGAAAAAAATCGTTATGGTTTTCGCTCTCTTATTTCCTAGCATCCAGAAAATTGGTTTTAATGGAATGTATCTTTTATTTAGACCAGTAATAAAACATGCTTTATTAAACAGAAGTCGGGAACCTGTGCACTGCCAGTATAATGACATCTGTGTCGGAGAGATGTTGACAGGAGATGGATTTCTTTTCCTTACCAGCAGCAGTGTTGTTACAACTTCATGAGATCTGGCCACATGGTAAACACTGTGATTCGAGGCTGCCACTTTGTTTCTCCATGTCAATACAAACCCAGTGTCATTGTTCTCGACTTAGTGCAAAACTTACTCCTCAAAACATTCATCTGTTCTTTTCTTTTGGTAGAAGCTAACAAACTTTTCATTGTCGGACGTCCATTTGTAGTAGAATCTATGATATGGTATAAATTGAGTTTTTAGTGTGATATCTGTCAAACAGTATTTGTTTCCTCGTTCACTAAAGAACAAGTTTTTATATCATCCTCTAATCTCAAGACACCGATGTTCTGCCAGTCCATTAACGACACCACCATTTGTAGACATATTGTGGTCTTCAGTGATCCCTCTTCGTGTAAGGTCATCTTTCATAGTATCATTGACTATGACCAATTGCTTTCACGATGTGGATCAATTTTAACATTGCATACGTTGCATACATGCAAGCTATTATCCGTAGGAAACTGCTTTGGGACTACAAAAAAGTCACGTGTTTCAGTTGCAAATCTAGATCTGGTCTTGTAGGTAAGCTTTGATCTTCCTTCGGTGCACTGATTCATGTCACCAAATCTTAAATCTTAGCGTCTTCATGGGTGCTCATAAATTCACGGCTGCTCCTATTATGTTTCGCAACAAACTCTTTGTATGTATCATACCCTATTACATGTGCTTTGAGAATATCATTCTTTCTTGTGCTTGAATGATAGCTTTTCTCACAATATTTGTCATATCACTTGTGTCTTGGGCAAAGGGGTTAGTAAACAACACCGGAATACTTGCTAGTTTACGGAAATTTTGTCTTGGCGTATGAAGGCGTATTTAACCAGGTCATGGTAGTGTATGTACTTGCATGGCATAGCAAGTACATACACGCACACACAATGGTGCAGAAAGGCAAAACTAGAAGCGAGAAAGCATTAAAAAGTACAGAAGGCAAAAGACAGCAGAAAAGAGAAGTGAATAGAAGAGTGAGAAACTAATATGTACTGGTGAAAAGAGAGGCTAGGTAACAATCTGAGAATGACATAATGAAAGTCAAATCTGAACTGATATTGCTGCACAGTCCCATCAGAAGGAAGACGGGTACATAAAAATAAGTAATAAGACTAAAAAAGGGAGAAAGGTTGTGAGGAATGAGAAGATAATTTGCGAGGAGTTGAACTGACGATTTAAAATGTTTCCAGTAAATATTAGGTTTCTTCAGTCCAATGAAGAGAATGGTGAAAGATGAGGAGGATGTTGAGGTAATCAGTCCATCAAGATTGATGCACTGAACACATCGACTCCAGGCTGAGGGACTAACTACTTCAAACTCCTCCTCATCTTCCACCTTTCTCTGCACTGGACTGAGGAAGCCACTGGCTGGAGAGACGTTTCCAGAATAAAGATACCCAAATTTTGCACAAGTGTCTCATTTATCAACTTGTTGCCTTTTCTAAACTATATATCCACAAATATAAGGTTAATACCAGAGAGTCAAGGAGGAGTTCACCAGTGGATAATGGACACAATACACACAACACGAGAATACGTGAAAAAGCTATTGAGTGAGAGAGACAATTCAATAGCTATAGGACTAAACAATGTATCACAATGGGATCTGAGAGAGAGAGCAGTAACATTGTGAACGGCCAAATTGACAAATGTCAGAAATGTGGAATACTGCGAATGTATTCCCAATACAATACACAAGAAAGGAAGAGAAAGGCAGTACCACAGTGTGACCAGAGCGGCCTCCTCGGGTTGTTACCCCGTAGAACATTTTGGGTACGCCCCTTCCAGGTATACTGTACTGCTAACTTTTGGGTTTCTTCTCCCGTAGACTTCACAATTGAAAAATAAAGTACGTACTGTATCTGTACAGAGAGAGAGCTTTCTGGATACATCCGCAGCGTGCATTGCTAGCCTAGGTGACTTATAGACTTGTCTTATATGATTATTTTTCATGATTTCCTTGGATTATGAGGACCTAACTTCTTGTCCACCACTGCTCCCGCCCATCTCGCTCTTGTCTGCCTCAACTCCGATGCCCACCCCCACAAGACAGCACCGCCCGGCTCCCACCACCCACTCACACACCACTGCTTGCTCTCCAAATCAACCCCACGCAAGTTGCCCGGCTCCTGACAAGGTTCGGTGGAGGCTGGCAGGTTTCGGGTTTGGAGGATGAAGTAGGAAGTTTGGGGGTTGGAGGATGAACTTGGAAGTTTGTCGATTGGAGGATGAACATGGAAGTTTGGGGGTTGGAGGATGAACTTGGAAGTTTGGGGGTTGGAGGATGAACTTGGAAGTTTGTCGATTGTAGGATGAACTTGGAAGTTTGTCGGTTGGAGGACGAACTTGGAAGTTTGTGGGTTGGAAGAGGAACTTGGAAGTTTGAGGGTTGGAGGATGAACTTAGAAGTTTGGGGGTTAAAGGATGAACTTGGAAGTTTGGGGGTTGGAGGATGAACTTAGAAGTTTGGGGGATGAAGGATGAACTTGGAAGATTGAGGGTTGGAGGATGAACCTGGACGTTTGGAGGATGGAGGATGAATTTGGAAGTTTCGAGGTTGGAGGATGAACTTGGAAGTTTGTCGGTTGGAGGACGAACTTGGAAGTTTGTGGGTTGGAGGAAGAACTTGGAAGTTTGGGGGTTGAAGGATGAACTTGGAAGTTTGGGGGTTGAAGGATGAACTTGGAAGATTGGGGGTTGGAGGATGAATTTGGAAGTTTGGGGGTTGAAGGATGAACTTAGAAGTTTGGGGGTTGAAGGATGAACTTGGAAGATTGGGGGTTGGAGGATGAACTTGGAGGTTTGGAGGATGGAGGATGAATTTGGAAGTTAGGCTTCTGTCACGTCGTAGATAAGGTGGTCGTAGCTTCCTGACTCATCAAGGCTTCTGTCACGTCGTAGGTAAGGTGGTCGTAGCTTCCTGACTCATCAAGGCTTCTGTCACGTCGTAGGTAAGGTGGTCGTAGCTTCCTGACTCATCAAGGCTTCTGTCACGTCGTAGGTAAGGTGGTCGTAGCTTCCTGACTCATCAAGGCTTCTGTCACGTCGTAGGTAAGGTGGTCGTAGCTTCCTGACTCATCAAGGCTTCTGTCACGTCGTAGATAAGGTGGTCGTAGCTTCCTGACTCATCAAGGCTTCTGTCACGTCGTAGGTAAGGTGGTCGTAGCTTCCTGACTCATCAAGGCTTCTGTCACGTCGTAGGTAAAGTGGTCGTAGCTTCCTGACTCATCAAGGCTTCTGTCACGTCGCAGATAAGGTGGTCGTAGCTTCCTGACTCATCAAGGCTTCTGTCACGTCGTAGGTAAGGTGGTCGTAGCTTCCTGACTCATCAAGGCTTCTGTCACGTCGTAGGTAAGGTGGTCGTAGCTTCCTGACTCATCAAGGCTTCTGTCACGTCGTAGGTAAGGTGGTCGTAGCTTCCTGACTCATCAAGGCTTCTGTCACGTCGTAGGTAAGGTGGTCGTAGCTTCCTGACTCATCAAGGCTTCTGTCACGTCGTAGGTAAGGTGGTCGTAGCTTCCTGACTCATCAAGGCTTCTGTCACGTCGTAGATAAGGTGGTCGTAGCTTCCTGACTCATCAAGGCTTCTGTCACGTCGTAGGTAAGGTGGTCGTAGCTTCCTGACTCATTAAGGCTTCTGTCACGTCGTAGGTAAGGTGGTCGTAGCTTCCTGACTCATCAAGGCTTCTGTCACGTCGTAGGTAAGGTGGTCGTAGCTTCCTGACTCATCAAGGCTTCTGTCACGTCGTAGGTAAGGTGGTCGTAGCTTCCTGACTCATCAAGGCTTCTGTCACGTCGTAGGTAAGGTGGTCGTAGCTTCCTGACTCATCAAGGCTTCTGTCACGTCGTAGGTAAGGTGGTCGTAGCTTCCTGACTCATCAAGGCTTCTGTCACGTCGTAGGTAAGGTGGTCGTAGCTTCCTGACTCATCAAGGCTTCTGTCACGTCGTAGATAAGGTGGTCGTAGCTTCCTGACTCATCAAGGCTTCTGTCACGTCGTAGGTAAGGTGGTCGTAGCTTCCTGACTCATCAAGGCTTCTGTCACGTCGTAGGTAAGGTGGTCGTAGCTTCCTGACTCATCAAGGCTTCTGTCACGTCGTAGATAAGGTGGTCGTAGCTTCCTGACTCATCAAGGCTTCTGTCACGTCGTAGGTAAGGTGGTCGTAGCTTCCTGACTCATCAAAGCTTCTGTCACGTCGTAGATAAGGTGGTCGTAGCTTCCTGACTC